TTGCCTCACTGTCGGCCACAAAATTGTACTTTGACTGCTGAATATGTTTCAGCAATAAAATGTCTAAACCCTTTTCTCTGTGAATCGAAAAGTTTTGAGTTAACAGGTGTTTTAGTAATAAAAGCCGATACATCCAGAGTAGACATTAATAGTTCTTCCTGAATTAATAATCTCTTTTTATGTTACTCAAGCTAATATATTGTGCAACATTCATGCCATTTTCTGAGATACTATAGCGAGAGATAAAAGCACTGAAGCAAAAAAGTTAATCAACTTAATACTGTAACATGTGGCCATTAGGCAAAACTGCATATGGGACTTCTGAACATGTGACAAAACGATTCAGTAGCAATCAACCATACACTATCGTTCCTGTTTCCCTTTTTAAAGGATCAAAGTGATGGTAGCGAACACAGCTAAAAAAGTAATTGCTACTGTAGTTGCCGAAGTTTTCTCACTGAATGCTGAAGGGCTTAATATAATTCAGTGGTCATTTAACGGGATGTTTTGTACCACCATGGTGATGCAGACAATCTTTTTCAAGTGAGAGACTGCAGGGAAAGCCGAAATCATTAAAAGTTGCAGACAAGCCTCATAAAGCACTGTACTGAAGCAAAGACGCAATCATATTCACATAAAAGTGGAAAGTCAAGATGAAGAGTGCTTTACAGGCAGCAGATCAGCAGGATCAGGGTGAAATTAATGTTGGCTGAAGGAAGCGCTGACAGATTCTTTTACTGGATCTGCTTTTAAGATCTTTTACAATTACTTTAAAAACTGTAAAATACATCTAATTGATAATTAGCATGATGATAAAAGCAGACTGAGAAAATGTGCTGTACTGACGTTCATAGTGGAAAAAGAACATCTGTGCTGTGAGCTGACTGACAGATAGCGGCTGCCGCATCTGTGCGGATGTTTATACGAGGTTAGCAGAAAAGCAGAGACAAAATAATCCTAAAAATAGCAATGAAATGTTTCAATAACTCAGTGACCACACAATACGTTCATTGATGTTATGTACAATAATAGTTTTACGTATGCTGCGTTTCATTTGTCTGTAAATGTACATGTTAGTATGCTTCACTTGATGAAAGTTCATCCAGAGGCTAATAAAGCTACCCTTACATACTCTCATTAGAGCTTTTGTGTTCCCTTTACTTTATGTTCATTATCCAAACTGCCCTTAGCCTGTGTTTATTAATATAAATGTGGCTTTGTGTGTGTGCGTGCGTATGTGTTTATACATGGATCTGCATATATCAAAGCCACGCAGGAATATGTAATATGTAGACAAACAGTTTAGAGGCAGAGAGAGAGGAGATACAGACAAATCATTTTAATTTCAAACTCCCCTTCATTAACAGTGCAGTTTATTAACAGTCCGGCAAACAGTCCAACACAGAGAGACTCTACACACTAGCCGTTTTTAACACAACATCTCGAGTATGCCACCCTGCATTTCATTTGCAAGAGGATGTGACAAATAAAACCTTAAAATCTTGATCAAACAGATCACGCAGTAACACCAAATAAATAAATACATTAAATTACACAAAAATAAATCTATTCATTCTACATGAGATAACAAGACACCACTAAATAATCAGAAATATAACTACATATTCTGGTTAATATATACATCTACATGTGCATTACATAGCATTAAAACTCCAACTCCAACCGATACAGAAACCATGACCTGGTGCACCTGTTATGTACCTCCACCTGTTGCTGCACAGAACTCCCCTAGATGATGCATGCAGTTACAGCACATCTCCCTGTTACACAATTACAGCCCTCATCCACCTGCAGTGGTCCCCTGCACGGGTGGGGGGGAGGGGTTTGTCCCGTAGTGGGCTCATTCCCCTGGTGTCCCTCCCAAGCCCGGGGGCCCCCTCCAGCTGGAGCGCTGTGTCCACATCATGAGTCACTGCTGTGAATAAGGAGCACCTCAGCTAACCCTGGTGCCGTGTTCCTCATAGTCATGGTGCTTTTTTGTAGCGGGACACTGTTGCTCTACTCTGCATGCTTTTTGAGGCTGTTGCACGTGTGTGAGTCTGTCTATGTACTATATCTGGACGCGAGTCTCTGTGGATCCCGAGGAATGAAAGCCAGTGACTGAGGGGATCCCTCTAGTGACGCTAACTGTATCTGTAAGTGTCTGTTTGATTCGGCGCGTGAGGTCGTGATGTGGAGAGTTCGCCCCTTAGGAACTGATCTTGTTGACCCTTGACCTTGTACTGTTCTGGTAGGGCTATGAGCAATGTCACAGGCTCAGATGTATCAGAGAGGATGATAGTTTGATGACCCGTGATTACACAGTCGTGACCTTTTGGGCTGATGGCTATAGAGCCATTGATCCTGAAAGTTATTCTCTTTCAACACTCATTAGTAGCGTCCTATTATATAAAATCACGGTGGGATTACACTGAAGGGAGATTTATTTCCTTTCCTGACTTCAGCAACATGGTGTGCTTTTTGATGTTTTCACGTGGGACATGATTTCCACCAATTTGCTGTTCATCGTTTATATCAGAGTGAGAGACAGAAAGCCTGCCTGCTGTGTCTGTGCGGTGCTATTCGGGGGGCTGACTCACCCCAGTAACTTAATGCACAGAGTCAGCTCCTTACCCCTAACTGCCCCACTAGCTCCTGCAGACATAAATTGGATGAGAAAGCAAAATGCCAGGTTATATGTGGCTGAGGTAGCAGAGGAGTATTAAGCCGAAGTAGCCGTGCGCCTTGGCTGGAGCATCCCTTGTGGTCAGGTGGGAGTGTGACAGTTCCTGGTGCACAATCTACCTAAGAACTCTACAAAGTTAATACAAGGCTTAATTAAAGGACACACGGAATTTCCTTAAGGACTGTATTCAGCTGGGTCTCCAGTGTCTTCAGTGCCTATCGAACACACAGAGCTTCTAAATTCTAATAGAGATCCAATGGTTTTGTGAATTTTGAAGAAATATGTATAAAAGTATGCACAAGACATGTAAAATATTTCCATTTAAGCCAGTGGTGTAGCCTCAAAAACATGGAAACATGGTGTTTTAGAGTTGGAACATATAGACAGAACATGCAGAAAACTATATGTTAAGAATTATATTTTGCCTTTAATATGAATACACCCAGAGTAGATTCAGAAGAAGTTAAAAGATGTTTTATATGAGGAAAATGTAATGTAAGGCAATATATAATCAAACACACTTATTACTCATGTTATTGTTATGTACAAAATTCATAATCTACTCCCAAATTAAACAAATCAGAATAGATATAACAATTTATTTGATATAAAAATGTCAATACAAAAAATACTGTATGACAAATAACAAATAATCCATAAAGTCCAATAAATTACCTCTTAAATTGCAGTTTTAATAAAAATAATACAGAAAAAAATGCAGTAGATAGAAAACGTAGAAAAAGACTTTTCTTAACCCAGAGCATTAAACAACAGAATAGACTTATGTTAAATCAGAGCAGAATTAAAGCAAAACAGCCAGCTGTGTGTCTGTAAGTTAATATGGATATTATTATTGGAAGGAAAACTGTGCAGCACAGTGAGAGTTATGTAAATAAATACAGTGATGTAATGCAGGAAAAGAGAGACAGAGCTTGATCATGGAAGGACACCGTTATGACTCTGTTTGCTTGTGGCAACCTTTCACTCAGCTCCGGCCATTTGCTGCTTACTCATACATGTCGGTCACAGACACTCACAGTTAACACTCTCACATGGACTTTTCTGCTTGGTCTGATTGCAGGATTGAACACAGCTCAGGCCTCTTAGTGCATGTCGGTAATATGCGTACTGGAGAGTGCATGTACACACAAAAAATTCCTGACATCCACCTCCTGCGTCCCAGTCATGTCCTTATATGGTCAAAGTGATCAATATGACACATGTTTCATCGCGAGCCTCCTTCAAAACATTCCCGCCCTCTCTGCTTCTACTGGAGACACAAAGCAGAGGGCTGGGAGCTCCTTCTCATCTCCTCCGGTGAAATTTTCCCTCTCGCTGCAGCTCCCTCCGACTAAGCTCTCAACCTGCTTGGTAAGGATATCGTCCCTGGAAGCCCTTTAAACCCCAAACTAAGCTAGTATTCATGGTTGGATTTTCCTCTCAGTCTAGCTGACAATAAGCCTTGCACCATTGCAGCTTCATAAGGGGAAAAGTTCTGTGGAGGTGTCACACTCATCCCCCAAAGCCGCCCTGAGGGACAGCAGTGTTTGGGTTCAGCTCCACTGCCCGAGCTAATGTGGGTCTGCTGTCTGACTCCCCGCTCCAACGGTTTGTGCCCGGCCACCTGCTGATTCTGCTGGTTTGGATGGACTGCCTGGAGCCCAAACCTAACCTACATAGGCAACATGTCCCTCTTCCTAAACTGTGCCCAGACACACACACACATACAGACATGCACATAAGCACAGCACAATGCCATTTACCTCTCAACCAGAACAAACCAGTCAAGTTAATACAATCCCGAAAACTGCACCTCACACAGAAGAAGGCTCGCTAAGAGGATTTATTTCTTCAAAAAGAGATAGGCTGTTAAATAAAGTGTGTGTGTATTTGATGATAGCAAATTCCCTATTTGGATTATTTCGTCTCCTTCTCCGTGCTGCTTGATGGTATTTTTTAATACCGATATCCTCTTTCCACCCTGTTTGGTCTTCTAATTCCCTAAAAAGCCCGAACTTGACAGCAAGCTCACTGTGGAACTGAGCTCCTAATTCAGTGTGTGTGTGTGTTTGTGCTGCAAGAAGCAACAGATCAAATTAAAGATATATTGATTGCCTGAGCGCAGAGAGGAACACTTATTTTAATTAAAGCAATTATTATGTCACCCCTTTTCACATTTTGTCACTGAACTTGCAGAACTAATACTGTTTCCTCAGGGACTGAACTGACTAGAAAAATCTGCACGAATCTTACTACTTTGCATTAATGGTGTCTTTCTTTTTCTCCCTCTTTCTTCCTCCTTTACTTACTCCAGAGTCTGTGAAAAGGTGAGAGAGGGACACTGTCTGCCCCACTGTCCAGCGACACCATGAGCTGGAGCTTCCTCACGCGGCTGCTGGAGGAGATCCACAACCACTCCACCTTCGTGGGGAAGCTGTGGCTCACCGTGCTCATCGTCTTCCGCATCGTTCTCACTGCCGTTGGGGGAGAGTCCATCTACTACGACGAACAGAGCAAGTTTGTCTGCAACTCGGGCCAGCCGGGCTGCGAGAATGTCTGCTATGACGCCTTTGCCCCTCTTTCTCACGTCCGCTTCTGGGTCTTCCAGATTATCTTGGTGGCAATGCCTTCTCTCATGTACATGGGCTATGCTGTGAATAAGATCGCACGATTAGATGAAGCCAAAGGAGGAGGTGGTTCTGCTGCAGTTAGAACAGGAGGAGGGGGCTACACGCACAGGAAGCCCAGGAAAATCTGCTTTGGAGCACGGCAGCACCGGGGCATCGAGGAGACCGAGGAGGACCAGGAGGATGATCCCATGATCTATGAGGTGCCAGAGATCGAGCCCCCAAAAAGGCCACGGGATCCACTGCAACCCACACCCAGACCGAAAGTCCGGCATGACGGGCGCAAGCGTATCCAAGATGAGGGACTGATGCGGGTCTATGTTTTGCAGCTGGTGACTCGTACAGTGCTAGAAGCAGGCTTCCTTGCAGGCCAGTATTTGCTGTATGGGTTCCGTGTGACGCCTGTGTTTGTGTGCTCAGGGAAACCTTGTCCCCACAGCGTTGACTGCTTTGTGTCCCGACCTACAGAGAAGACCATCTTCCTGCGCATCATGTACGGTGTCACTGTCCTTTGTCTCACGCTTAATGTTTGGGAGATGCTCCACTTGGGGATTGGCTCCATCTGTGACATTCTTCGCCGTCGGCGCTGCCCACCTCAGGAGGATGAGTACCAGTTGGGCTTGCTGGGCACCAACGGGGGTGTGGAGGGCTCAGTAGGGGGGCCAGGGCCTGAGGCAGGTTCTGAGGGAGGGGTGGGTGGAGATGGAGCTGCCGATTACGTGGGTTACCCCTTCTCGTGGAATACCCCATCGGCTCCACCTGGCTACAACATTGTGGTAAAGCCAGAGCAGATGCCCTACACGGACCTTAGCAACGCTAAGATGGCATGCAAGCAGAACCGGGCAAATATTGCTCAAGAGGAGCAGCAGCAATTTGGTAGCAATGAGGATAACTTCCCCACTGGAGGGGAGGCCCGTGTGGCTTTGAACAAAGACATGATCCAGCAAGCTCATGAGCAGCTGGAGGCGGCCATCCAGGCCTACAGTCAGCAGCACCGGGCAGAGGAGCAGCTTGGGGACAACCAGGATGACAAGCCCCAAAGTAACATCATCCAGGCCCAACCGCAGCCTCAGCCTCAGCCTCAGGCTCAGAAAGAGCGCAAGCATAGATTCAAGCACGGGAAAGGAGGCAGCAGTGGAGGAGGCAGCAGCAGCAACAGCAGCAGCAGCAAATCAGGAGAGGGCAAGCCCTCTGTATGGATTTAATCCCAGAACAGTGACATGTATTGAAACCATGTATATATTAGAGACTGGATGACGAGCTGCTGCAATCTTCCTTGGATATTTAAACACCACTGTGCCTTAAAGAATCCTGCAAGCTGGAGAAGATGTGTGTTTGTGTACTAAGGTGTGTAAAACCCGTGATGTTGCAGCTGACGATTTGTGTTGTCTGGGCTATCACTGTCTAGCTTGAAACATCACACCAACACAAACTGTAATAGGCTACAGTCTGTCGTTTACATGTCTCGTTCTTCTCAAGTCCTAAAGCAGATTTTGACCTCTGATGTCTTCCCGTTCATCCTTTCTTAGGGATTTGAACTTTGGAAAATTACTGAATGATAATGAGTTCTGTTGCAAATCAGATTGATCCCAGATTTGGCTTAGCTCATTTTCGGGCCGCTCCTCTGCAAAGACACTGTCTCCATTATAACATTGGCATCCTAATTCTTGGGACAAAATACAATGACATCCAAATGAAGTATCATCATAACACAAAGGCAAAGGGATGCCATATCATCACTATGCCTTGGCAAGCTAAAGCTACGACTTCGTACTATGGTATGATGTTACCATGGCACGTCATTACAACATAAATGCAATAAAATGAAACATAATTCAGTGGCGGCGCCTAAAACAATGACTTTATGATGCGGTGAGAACATCACCTTCCTGAAGGCTGTGTCCTGTCAGTCATGTTCTGTCTGCTTTTTCTCCAGTGTCACAGTGTTATGTTGCTGTGACTTTGCAATTGACAGTGTGTTTGTATATGTTTCATGTGTTCTTTTTTTTCATGTGTGCTACACCAGCTGCTGCTCAGAAACCGGTGAGTACAAGCAGGTGGCTTTTTATCCATCTGAACTTTGCTGAGAGAAAATGTTCTTTATAACAAGGTGCATAAACAATCCAGTTTTTATACCTTACTCTTCAGCTTCTTAGTTTCTCTCTCTGTCTCTTCATGGCTATTGAGCAAGGCTGCTCCGCACTCCACTGGTGGTCCATCTGCCTTGTAGTTGACTGCCACCTGGTGGTATCTTCTACAGGCCTTTCTGTATTGGAGAGTAGATACCAGTTGCCAATGCTACCTGCATCCAGCAACACCTTAACCAGCTGTAGTGTTCCTTTTCTATTGACAAGCCTCGTGTCAGTTGAGTCTTCCCTACACGTTCAGTGTTAGATGCACAAGGCTGCAATATCACCACGTTGTAATGGAAAAGGTTTAAAGCCATTACTATAATATAGTGAGACCAAACACTGTTTGTGTGATGCAAGTGTCAGTGCCAAGATCTTATGCTAGGCTGCTATGAAGCCTGGTTGTTTGTAGCTTTGGAATACTGTGGCCATGCTACTCCAGTTGTGGAAAAATGCCTACATGAGACCAACCCTTTTGTAAAAGCCACTTGTTTTTTGTATTACAGTATGTACGTATTGCTTTTTGGAATGGGATTTAAAATAGCAAACTCGAAAACTGAGTCAATTTTTATGTTCGAGCCAGTGTTTTATATGAAAACACTCTTTTTTCAATAAAGTTTTTTTGTAAAATAAAGTAAAAGAAAGCAAGTTCTTTTAAAAATGAAACAGCTGTATGGATATTTATGGTTATTGTGTTTTAAATTGCCTTCCAATTGTAAAAAATGTGAAATATGACATAGTATATTTTTATAAAATGTCGGCTACAGTGACTTAATGACGTAAAGAGAAAAAAAAGCCAGACTTTTCCTTGTATGTTACAGTATCAGTATTTAATGTATGTGGCAACCCTCTGGGTTGTGTTTTAATAAACTGTGTTGCTCCTTTTTCAACATTGTTCTGAGATCTGCTGAACAGCTGTATGGACACAAACTGACCAATAGAATCAGTTGTGGGGGAAAGGACATAACAAGTGCCAAATTATTCAAACCATTACAAACTTTGCCCCGCAGTAGCTTCCCAAACAATCATTTATGGGAGAGGGAGCAAATCTGAAGAGCTTGAACATTATGTTCTTGACACAATGAATCTCAACCTGAAAGACCTTTCCCAGAAAAAACAATGAACTAACTGAACAAATCATCAACCACGTGAAGTTGTGAGACTGGACACTGTGTACAATACAACAGGGTTATGAAGTAGAAAGAGTCTTTCTGATTTGTGTGTTCACCATCAGGCTCCACAAGCCTTTTCAACAAGCCAGCCAGTCAGCCAGCCAGCAGACAGTCATAAATCTCCAGAAGTACTCCAGTCAGTCGCTCACCAGAGCAGTGATTGACACTGGCTCTACTCGCGCTGCTCTGTTGCCAATAAGCCACAGGTGATTTAGATTTTCCCAGTTAGTGTCAGTCTCTTCCCCTGAAGGCCAATCAGCCCTCATCAAATTCTCCCCCAGTGAGCAAAGTTTCTCAACTAAAGTATTAACTGCTGTTTTTTGAAAAGAAGGAAACAAGCTGAAGTATAAATGGATAACAGGCAGCTGGTGATGCTTTGCAGTGAGAGCCAGCTGGGGCCACTAGAGGGCGACTTCCTGTCAAAGGAGGGAGCACTTCAGAGAGTGAGGAAGGGGCGTTTTTAAGGACGTGCCATGGGGGTACTCAAAGACCCCATCTGCTCAGAGTCTGCATGACTGGCAGCTTGGCCTTACATCTCCAAAACTATTCTAGGTTATGGCTCAGACGTGTCTGTTTTCAGGAAAAAGTAAGGAATTCGGGCAGCTATCCAGGTCAAAAGAATTACCCTGTGGCACAGTTATGTGCTTGTGTGGTCCTGTTTTCTTTTGTCTATTGAGTGGCTGCGAAAGAAAGGTAGAAACAAAGTGTGCTCACTAGACAGAAATGGCTTTTACAACTATTTTTTTGTAGGGTTTACTCTCCTCTGCATATTATCGCTGTCTTGTGAAAACCATGGGTTTCAAAATGTATTTTCTAAAACTTCAAGTAAAAGCAGGGTCCCAATTAGACGCAGGTCCCCTTTCTTAGACTGGTGTGGCTATACATGTTTGAGAAATAAACTGTCTCAATTAGACGCCTGGTCTGAATTTTATAGAAGTTCTAAGCTGCTTAGATCGCCTAAACAAATGTTTAAACTTTTGTTGCTCAATCAGTTAGATTCTCCACAATTCATTCAGTTAATTTTAATGAAATCATGAGCACCAAGTGTATCAACTAATCAAATGAATGACTCGTAATTGATGTTATTCGATAGCTTAGGTTTTACCTATTTTTATACCTTTTATATTTACACTGGTTTAAATGAACAATTAAATAGTATTTGCCATATTTGCTGAGCAAGAGTTTTGTGCAAAAGGAATTAAAGATGCCAGTCCCAAATGTAGGCAGGTTGAGTTCAGTGATTGAAGCAAAGAAAATGCTATTAATCAAAGTTTTACAGTAATTCTGTGTGATTCTTTAAGGATTTACAGCTAAAACATGCTAATAAATGCAGCACTGAAAGTATGCAGGAATTCAACAACAACAACAAAAAAATACATGACACAGAATCACCTAAATTTGAGTTTCACTTGACAGTGACAATATGCTTTGAGCACCGATACATCTAAAGGTGGAGACACACTTTGGAACTGAAAGCCATTTGATCCTTTTCCTAGCAACTGAAGGAATTATAAGTGAAAGAAAAAGTTATTCTTCAAAGCTGCAGGTGTGATGCTGCTGTTCACAGCTACAGCAGGTTTGGTGTCATCGTTTATTAGGTTAACTGTGTTGGAACAATGCTCACATGGACAGTTACTCCTTTGTGATTTATCCCTGTACTGTACATTAACACAGACGGAGAATTAAAACCGGTTGTATCAGATGAAGTCTTTTGTGGGTCTATTCATCAGGGATACCACAATGTCCACCCTCAGCATCTGTCTGTCTGTATTTAAAACAATGTCTGTGTTCAGAAGAAAGGCTGTAGTGAGGCCTTGTTGTTTCCCTACATGTTTCTTATAATCACCCATGTGGGATGTGACAATAAAACCAGTGGTATTACCAGTACAAACTCTGATTCATACATGCATTTGTGTGTTTGTGTGTTTTTCTATGCCTTTTTGTAAAATGTACATTTCTTTGAGTGCCATTCTGGTATCCCCCCGGCAAAGATTTGTTTTCATATTCTTTGATGAATTCATTTGATTTGCATGTAAAAGACCTATTTTCCTACAAAAATAAATCAGAAAATGCATATTGATTAAAGTCTCTGCATCTTTTGTTTGGGCTCCGTACGAAGAAACAAAAAAAGTCCAAAAACATGAGGAAATAAAAGGCTTTCCCACTCTTGAAACGTTGAGTATTGTCCTATTCTTGTTGTCAGATTGAGATCTGTGTCTGATTTTGATTGGTGGAGAACAGGGGGGTCTCTGCAGTCCTATCAGGAGAATTACAGTCACACAGGCTGATGTTGTGTCACTGGCAGGAACAACACAGGAGACCGAAGAGATGTCACTTCAGCTCATGTCAGCTGTGTCATTTTGTTTGTCACTTTGGCAGTTCATTCGGTGACAGTTGAACTTCAGCTGCTGATGAGAGAACAACTGAGTCTGTGAGGCTTTAAATTACATTAATGCATTACGAGCTTAATGTTTGTTCCGATTAGCCACTGATGTTGGGAGCTGAACTGTCCTTGATAATGCAATCTCACCTCTTCAATCAATCCAGACTGAACAGGAACAGGAATGTTTAGAAAATGTAATGTCCTCTCTCTTTTTTTCCACCAAGTTTTCAGTCTGTTGTCATTAGTTCACAGCCAAACTGCCCGGAGAATAAATATCCAAGATGGAAATGGAAAGTATGTTTTTGTCATTCTCTGAAAAAAAAAAAAACTTTCCCTGGAGAGACAAGCCAGTGGGAATGAACAGAGTGCTGCAGCTGGATGTACAACGAGGTCACTGCCGATATGAGAGGACTCCCACGAGCAATGTCTGGGATGGCAACTTGTGGCAGCGGGCTATTTTCTCCAAAAAGAAACAAACATTTCATCCCATTAATGGCCTAATTGGCCGGGTGCACTAACCCTACACAGATGTCTTTTCAGAGACAGTGTACACATGCTACCATTATTAATTTTGAGACAAGCGAAAAAGGAGCAGGACAAAAACTCGCTCCAGTACTCAGTACAAAGCTTCTCTGGTTAGTTTTTCCTGTTGAAGCATCATCCAGATGTTAGCGTGTCTCGTCCATCCAGTGACTGTGGGATGCCCTGCAGCAGGACACGCAGGAGTAACCTAGTGAAGTGGAAGGTGCAGTAATGTAAAGGCCACTGATATCACAGCTGTGTCAAATTTGGAAAAATGTGCCTCTTGATAAGAGCAAAAGCCTTCTCCTGTTTTACAGGTTGGTGGTGTTTTAAAACTTGTATAACTACCTACACTTGTTGTTATACATGTAGATGAGATGCTAGATCGATTTTGTAAGAGTACTGAATATGTTTGAATGGTTTTCTGAACAAGTGGCAAACATACAGTTTCTCTGTGTGTCGCGTGTGGCCCAAGGTGCCTGTATACTTTTTTTTGTTGTGACCAAACCACGTCGAAGTTTCTGGCTCCAGCGCATTTTATGTTGGGTTAAAAATTATTCTTTGGTACAGTATTTTGTTACCTGTGTAAATAAATTGAATGCTACAGTCATATATATGTATATTGCAAACAGTTAAGATGGTTACACTTTGCAAGTCTTCAGCTCATGCATTTCTCCTGAACCAACCCTGTCATAAAGAGCAATATGCTAGTTTCTTGTTATTTGCACTATGAGTGAGATTAAATAAGGGAATATGTGAGGACCAATACATTTTATGTGTTATGGTACTGTTTTCAGAAGATGTGAACTAAATTGTAGCTCAGTTAATTAACTGAATGAGGATGTATTAATGCAGTTGTATACTGAACTCAGAATTACTCTTTATGAAGAATTGGAAAATGTTTGTTTTATTCAGAAGTAAGAACATTGTGCTATAACTAGCCTATATGTATTTTGGTTTTGGTTTTGATATTGTGGATGTTGTATTATTGAATGACATTTGAATATGGAAAGACAAAATGCAGTAAAAAGGATAAAAGAGAAAAAGAAAAGAGATATTTTGCAAATTGGTTAATAAGGATTCTGCTGAGCGAAGCTACACAGAACAGAAGCAACGGTCGCCTGTCTCATTCTTTCTCCTGTTTTACAGGAGAACCTTATCTGTTTACAGGTACTCTGTCTGAGACCTGTTACACAAACACAAAAAACTTTTTTTCTGATAAATATTTATTCACTGATTCACTTTAACCTAATTTCCCCTCTCGTCTCGTGCTGTTCAAGAAAAAACTAAATCCCAAACATTCAAACGGTTCAAAAGATTGGCTCACCAAGAGTTCTCAATATTGGTCATCTACAGTTTGTAAATAATTAGTCTGGATGACAAAAATCACTGTTAAGACTTTAGAAGTGTCAGCATAAAAGGCAATACTCCCAGTTGTTCAAGACCCACCCAAGTCTACATGCAAATGTTACAAAAGAAAGCTTACCAGAAGGTTACAATTTTCACCCAAAGTGCACAATTCACAATCATTACATCACCTTACATTGGAGTTAATTAAAGGTCCAGTGTGTAACATTTAGGAGGATCTATTGTCAGAAGTAGAAAATAAAAGTCCTCTTCTACTGAGGCTGGCATGTGTAAACACCATGTTTCTACAGTACCCAGAACGGATGAAACAAACTCTGGCTCGGAAAGCTTTGAAGGCGAGTTATTAGGGATGGGAATCGAGAACCGGTTCTTCTTCAGAACCAGTGCCCAGTGAATCGATTCCTTGGAACCATTAGCGTGCCTGCTTAACGATTCCGCTTATCGGTTCCGCTCGCTGCAAGAAACATCAACAGTATGATGTTTATTAGACCTATGTAATCTGAATTGGAAGGCCACGTTGTCATGAGCTGTATCTTGTATATTTATTATGAGCTATGTGGTATGTGTATGCACCTTTATGTAATCTGCTGGAAAAACATTCAAATTTAAAACCAGATCATACCAAACAAATATCTGCTTGCGTGTCCCTGTGTATGCAAGGTGTCCTCCTTTTTGATGTGAAGGAAATGGCCACCCTATTTCAGTCTGTGTTTTTAGTTTTTATGGCACATAATGGCGGTTGGGCTTAAAAAGCCAAACATTTGTTTCTTTGTCTGGACCAATTAATGTGAACATTAACAATTTCCTAATCCTAAGGCACTCTTGATAATCTTTCAAGGCACACACTAGCGTGCCATGGCATGCTGGTTGAGAAACACTGCCCTAGGCTATGGGTCCCTGGACTTTACTTTGAGAAGTAGCTCACCTACTTTTAGGTTTGTTCTGAGGTTGCAACACATAATTTGTGTATACTCTGTGCTGTGTCTTCTGATCAGATATTAAAGCTTGTACTTATTCCCTCACCCAATGAGAATCGATAAGAGAATCGATAAGAGAATCGATAAGAGAATCGATAAGGAATCGGATCGATAAGCAATGTCGATAATGGAATCGGAATCATTAAATTCTTTTCAATTCCCATCCCTACGAGTTATATTCTTCTGGTTGCAGTCTGCAACTTCACCACTAGATGCCACTAAATCCTACACACTGGCCCTTTAAATCTGCATTGATATAGCATTTACATCAACTTAAAAAGTATTTGCTTCCAAACTAACATTGTACCAATGTGTGTATGCTGCCACTTCGTGACAGTGCTTACCTCTCCGTCTGGTCACTGTGGTGACGAGGGGTAGCACATTGTAACAGAGGCTCCCCATAGCAACCTTTGTGAAGAGAACGTTTTTATTCCTTTTTCGTTCTGTGGTGTCTGTTTAGTTAGCTAGAGGCCTCACTTAATAGGGTCTTCTGGTGACCACAGCCCACAGAGGGCAGCCATGATGGTCGGTAGTTTACGCTACTAGGACACGACCCACGCAGGCACTCTCAGATCTGAGGCTTATTCCATGTCTGTATGACATCCAGCAGTGTCAGTGGCGTACAATGAGAATAAGAGTACGGAAAATGATTGTCCACAACCAGCACCAACCTTTTTATAATATGTGTGTGATTAAATTGTGTGAGTACCATACTTTTCCCCTCAACAGTTCCTAGATTACTGTCTTAAGTGGTTAAATGTGTGACGTGACTTTTAACAAAAGATTCTTCACATTCATTGTGCTGCTGTTTTCATTAAACGCGTTTTAGCCAGACAATCTTCATGTAAAGGAGGTATTTCTTTTCTTTTGGTATTTGTTGCAAAAAGATCCCATGGTCAGTTACATGTCATTAGTTATTGATTCACATAAGGGACTACAATGTAGACCACACTACAGTATATGCCAATGTTGTTTTCAATAAAAACAACATTTGCACAAAGCAAGCCAATCCACTTTTCCATGTTGATAAGAGCATTAAAATGAGAAAAAATAATGGGACAAAAAGAAATCAAGGGACATTTAGAATAGATAAAAATGTGCGATTAATTGCGAGTTAACTATGACATTAATGCGATTAATGGCGATTAAATATTTTAATCGTTTGACAGCACTAATTTAAATCAAAATATCTTCCTCCAGATTCCAGCTGGAACATTTGTGATAATAAATACAGTTCAGTCAGGACCACTTTCGTCAAAATATCTTATATTCCAAGCAGAATTACATTTGGCGGTATGGCTCTGTTCTGGGACCTCCTTGTCCTTCCGCGTGCCTACGTGGAAAACCTTAAGGCAGGGAGAGCACACCTCCCTGCCCTTCCATGTGCATACATGGAAAAGTTTAAGACAAGGAGAGCGGCAGCAGAGACCCCCCAGGGTACAGAACAGAGCAAGCATCAATAGCAATCAGAAATGACATTGATTAATTAGAAATATAAAAAAGGAGGAGCTGGGGTGGAGGTGGGTGCAAAAAGGCTTGTAGAGGAGCAGCAGAGATAGGCAGGCAGGCTAAAGCAGCTTAAATAAGGCGCCATGTAGATGTTAGCCAATTGGATGCTTGAGGAAATCAGGTGAGCTGTCAGCTGACTGTGCATGGTATCCAATGGGAAGCTTAGAGGAATCAGCTGATGTATGTTTATGACTAGCTGTGATCGTATGATATAGCTGTAACTGAAAGCTAAGCCCGACTTCGTGCCCTGCCTGAACTAACGCTATGCTCAATTTTTAGGTACACTACACGACAGTTTACAGAAAGTCCTGTGATCATTGCATTTTGATTTTAGTGCAAATGTCTAGGCCGCTGAACTCAGCAGTCACTAGATTCCATTCATTCAAAAGTATATGAAAGACTTTATGTGTGACTAGCTTCTTCCTGAGGCTACAAATAAGGCACTTTGTTCCTGTCCTGTCAGCTGCCTCTGAGTCTGGGAACTTACTATGTACCTGATTGACATTTTCCCAGGTGAAGCTTTAGCACCCCCTGAGTGTGCAGCTGCAACAACAGGTCAAACTCAGCTGGCATGGCGTGGAAATTCGCATGACTTGGTCTGTTATCGTAGTAGTGGTTAGTCAGGACATGGAATTCATATGGGTGATTACTGAAGGGCCAGAACCCGTACAGATGCACGTTGGCACAGAGTTCCAGGGCCAGGCTAACCATTATTAAGCCGGTGCTGAGCCGCACTGGTCGGAGGCCTTGGGAGTGCCAGAAGAGATCCAGTCTCTGGAGGTACTCAGGGTTCAAGAAGATGGTCCGGATGGGGCTTTCAAAGTCCTCCATGGTGTAGAAGGCCCGCAGGCACACGGGAGTGTTCTGGCCATAGGAGAAGGCGGGAAGGAGCAGCAAGGAGTTGCCATAGCTACGCAGACTCTCCACAAACGGATGGCGACGCCCCATTAGAGCCCCATACCTGAAAATAAACAGTAAATGTGAAGCAAAAAGACAAAAAGGAACATTTTTAGGGTGACAGTGCAGTAAGATTCATCCTCTCACTCACTTCGCTAGAAGGATGCTTGGGTTTGCTGTCACAAGGTCGGTCTTGATGCCTACATGTTTCTCAAAGCCGTTCTTCAAAGGAGGTAGGTTGCACCTGAACAAGCAACAGAGAATATATAGAGATTGTTATACAGAAGTTAAACAAAGGTGAGTTTAATTCTGTTGGTTGACATTGTCAGTCCACAGCACTAGACACATTTCTCACCTGATCACAAACTGAGCTGAATCAATCGTATTTCCACAACTGCTGTTGGTCAGTATCCCTCCGTTCCCAACAACAGCGCACGTGTCCCATGTTTTATTTGGGAAAGGACGCTCCTGGAATCAACACCAACGGTAAAATGCATTACAAAACAACAACATATATGCTGATGATGAGGACTGTGTGAAAGACAAAGAGCCATTTTAGGGGAGGGAATGGCTCCATCTCATGTGCAAATGATTTCTCAACACCCCACACTCTGGGAAATCCCCCCCACAGTAGTGCTTACATCTGTGTCTATTAATTTCATTTGCTAATGTACCACATTAATGTTCCCTCCTTCTCTGGTTAAATTGCCTTAGAGTCTAGGATTTACTATAAAGTGTTGCAATTTCAATAAGTTTTTTGTTTTGTGACAAACAGAGATCTTATTCATGTCTTGGTGAAATCAGTGGTTTGGGTTGTTATCAGTGTGATACGGTTTTTGTGTGTTTCAAACCAAATCAAGATTTCCACCACATTGGGCAATAAAGCTGTATTTTATTGTTACCATGGTGATTAAGGAGAGACCAGCTGTGTCGTCTAACCAAAAGAAGCCTGCAAAGCCTGACATATTTTGTCTAGAAATGTGAATTGGGACTGAAGTGAACACATAGCAAAGCAAAATGCAGCCTCTTCACTTCAGACATTAGACCATTTCATACCAGTTAGGCCAAATTCATTGCAGGTCCTTCTGGTCATAACACAAGCTTCAAAAATGTATTTGGTAACAGGAGGGATAGCTCAGTGGTAGAGTGTTTGTTTTTGGATGAAGATGATTAAAGTCTCCTCTTCTTGTTGCTGTAGTTGGATGTTAGGGCTTCACTGTGCAGAATGATGTACGTGCAGAGTTTGACACTAGAAGGATGTTTTCACATTCATCTGCTGAAAGTGGAAAGTTTCTCTGTGCTCACGGAAAATCTGATCACAAACAGCTGTTTATGGAAGCCATTCGAGACTAAGTCAACCATGAGAATATATGGAACATATTTCTTCATCTATTATGTATCTGGCTTTCTTAAATGTACAAGAGTATACCTCAGTGGTAGAGTCCCCAGTTCAAATCTGGGTGTCCCCTGCAGGATTTTTTTTGTTGTATGTAGTGTTTTTAGACTAAATTATTTAATCTGTCATTACACTTCATCAGTATGCTTCACCATGAAGCTGCTGGCAGCTTTAAACTTGCAGATGACACAGCTGTTGCAAGTTTGCTTCATTAAAATGATGTGGCCAGTGAGCCTGTGCAGTCATGTGATGATCAGTTCCAGAAACTGTGCATTCAAAAAAATACTTCACTTCCACTTTACCGTATCATTGTGGCAGGAGTTGAGAGTACCGTGCACTTGACAAGAAATGGAGTGAAATGTCTTCACAAACAGTGAATGGACTGCTGTGAAATTTGGTACAGATATTAAAGGTTCCCAGACTTTAATGATCGTGTGACCTTTCCTCCAGCACCACCATGAGGTTGACATTTGTGGTTTTGAGGGAAATGTCTCAATAATGGGATCCACTGCCACGACATTTAGCAGTTCCTCTCTCCTCAGGGAGGATCTTAATACTGTGTAAAAACGTGATCACACGGCTGCTTTATTGTACTTTGTATTGTGTGTATAGTTGTCACTATTTTTTGTGGGTTATTTTGTTGTTGTTTTTGTTTTGTTCAACAATCTCCTCATGTGTGACAATAAAGACAAATCTGATGACACTCACGCAGATTCTAAACATTGGCAGATTCCTGTACACAACCAGTGTACATCTCAGTATGTATTTATAGATCATTTTACACATTTACTACTCTGATAATGAACACACAGTTGAGATGCAGATACACAACTTTCCACTCACATTTGTACATAGTTTTGCTACAATAATGGACCCATAACATTTAGTTATTTTCAATCTAATTATGTGATTAATTCTGATGTGTATTGCATTTGTCAGTGTAAAGGGTTTAATGACTTGTACCATGTGTTCTCACAATTCTGTGTTTACATAAGTAAGTTATGTCCTGAAAAGTAGAGTTTGGTGTATATTGAAATCATATTATAGTATATGAAATACACTTAATATGCAGAGGGGGGGTATACCTCAGTGGTAGAGCATTTGGCTGCAGCTCAAGAGGTCCTCAGTTCAAATCTGGGTGTCCCCTTCAGTTTTCACCCCCAAAATACTAATACCCAAAAAACTTTCATTTATTACATATCCCTAAAATCCAAAAGATAAATGTTCTTTCTGTTCATAATAACACAGAAGTGTGCAATTGGTAACTTCTAAACTGCAGCTCATTCACATAGAAAGCTTACATGTGTTACACTAAAACAAAATGTGTTCACTGATCAGGACTAAGTGTGAAAAGGGTGAAGCTGTCAGCAGACAGACAGTTTCCAGTTCAGGAAGTCCAAAAACAAACTGTGCTGTCTAGTCTTGTGTATGAAAAAGCCGAGATGTGAGACATATGACTCAGAACATGCAAACATTTGAGAAGCAATCAAACAAGCAGCAGATGTAGTAGTAACATTCACGAAAGACCACCATACCTTTGCAAAGGTGCTGAAAAGCTCCGGGGTCACCTGGAGGGTCCTCTTCTTTTCCCCGTCGTACACAAGCTTTGATCCCACTGGAGTGTTGGCCTGGGAAATGATGGCCTTGTCAAAACCATGGCACTTGCTGTTCAGCTGAGATCTGGGGAACCACAAGGACTTCTATTAAATTAAATAACATACAAGACGGCCAGGAGTCGCTGACAGTGATTTTAGGTGTTAAACAATTATGGAACAACGTTAATTTGCAAAAATACAGTAAGAGCTAACTGAATGTCCTGTTTTGTTTAGCTCATAAATAAACCATTACCGCTCTCATATAAGGATTTTAATAACTTAAATTCAGTGAAAGCTGTCTTTTAGGTTTTTACTAAAACTCACAGGACCTCAACATGCGTTATATTTAAACCATGTGGTCAACATTTGCATGTTAACTTCCTCTACTTCTCCTTCCATGTCTCTACTTCTTCTAACCATATAAGAAGCAAATTAATGCTTTATTTTGTTTAAACCTTTTCAGTTTATTACAGTTTGAGCTATTTGTGACAAATGTAGACTAAATCAGGTGAGGGGACCCTGACTCATCTTTTCTGAGCTTTCCCTAAAGTTAAAACATTTTGGGAGATAATGGAATAATTACATAGAGTAATTATTGGGAAAGAAATCCACACAGATGCTATTTTGGGTTTGATCTGAAAGCTCCCCAGAACTGCCATAAGAGACCCAGCAAGCTTTAATGCTTGTATGCTTCTAGCTTAAATGGTTATTTTGAGAGAATGGAAGTCTACTTCCTCTTCTTGTTTGTACTGTCATTATTTGGAAGAGATTTGGTATTTCTCATCTAACTCACAATGTAAATTTGTTCGGATTTCAGATCTCTTTTTTGATTATATCAGAAAGCAAATAAACTCGTTTGCATCAAAGTAGTGTGTGTTGATTTCTGTGCCCCTGCACAGGCAAATGAACGGGCATTTGCCTGCCTGTATTTCCATCACGGTGGCTATAAATGGACACTGGAGATACTATATATCATCTGTCTAGCTTGTTCTAGAAGTTCAAACTAGAGTAAAAATAAAAAATCTGAGAGGATGCCATGTGTTTTTTCACCTGAATTTTTGGTAATTGTCCTCCTGCTTCTTCCAGGTTTTAGAGTAACGCTTTTGCACTTTGACGATGACCTCCCTATGACACACACACACACACACACACACACACACACACACACACACACACACACACACACACACAGAACAACAGTCAGGTGTTTAACCCCTGTTGATCTGATGAAGGATAAACAAAAAGGTCACATGGGGAGAAGCAGCGACGGTGTTTGCTCTCACCTACAGCCTTTACAGAGGTTAGTGGGCACAGGAATGCTTTTCTTATAAGACGGTTGGTGAGGTTCTACATTGCTGTGCAGAGAACGAGAGAGAGAAACAGCAACAGATGAGTAAAACCCAGAAGCCAGTAGGGGAAAAAAACTGATAATCTAATAGACTCTGAGCTCTTGTTTTTTCTAGGCTCCATATTCTGTTCACATCAGTTGAGAAGAAAACGCTGTTCTAAAAGTGCTGTATTGTTTAGATAGAAAGTCTCATTTCCAGGTCATCAAATACAGCTTTGAATCCCAAGGAATGAGACTTAACAATCAACTGTCTTTCTCAGCTCTGATCGGTTATTTCCCTTTGGGTATGGTGGATTCTTGACAATTGTCATTAGGAGCACTGAGACAAACCAGAGTAAACTGTTATTACTCTATTATATTACTATATTACCTGTTATTATCTGTCTCGTGTTCTACTGATAATAATAATACATTTTATTTGTTGGTGCCTTTCACAACCCCCAAGGTCACCTTACAGGTAAAAACAACTGCAGAAATAGGCATAAAATACACAGCACAGTAAATACATATAAAATACACATAAAATTACAAAGAAAATACAGTGTAGTTAAATAAATGAATGCAGAGAGTAAAACAGTTGGGGGCCAGAGTATTTATAGCAAGTAAGACTTTTTAAAAAGGTGTGTTTTGAGTTGAGACTTGAAAGTGTCAATGGAGTCCAGAGAGCGGATGTGTAGTGGAAGTGAGTTCCAGAGTCTAGGTGCAGAGCAGCTAAAAGCCCGAGCACCCATTGAGGTAAGTGAGAAGGAAGGGTTGGAAAGCAGGGCGATAGATGAGGAACGGAGTGAACGGGATGGGATATATGGCTGTAGCATACTGGAGAGATATGGGGGGCCCTGGTTATGGAGAGCTTTGAATGTTAACAGTAGGAGTTTGTATTGTATCCGTTGTTGGACAGGGAGCCAGTGGAGGTGAATGAGCACTGGTGTGATGTGATCCGAGGACTTGGTAGGTGTTATGATTCTGGCAGCGGTGTTCTGGATGATTTATAGGTGGTGGATGAGTTTTTGTGGTAGACCAATGAGAAGGGAGTTACAATAGTCCAGACGCTTAGTGACCAGGGCATTTATGAGGACTTCAGTGGAGTGCTGGGTGAGGGAGGGACGAATTCTGGAGATGTTGCGGAGATGGAAAAAGGATGTACATGAGATGTTGTTGATGTGGGATGTGAGTGAGAGAGTACTATCCAAGATGACGCCAAGACTTTTAACTTCGGTTGAAGTGGGGACCAGACAGCCATCGATGAGAATACTGAGGGGATGGGATTTGGAGAGTGATGATTTGGATCAGATGAGAAGAACTTCACTTTTATTGCCATTGAGTTTGAGCTTGTTGTTTGACATCCAGTTTGTAATGGTTTCCAGGCAGTCTGTGAGGGCAGTAGGGGGCGATGCAGTGTCTGGTTTGGTGGTGAGGTAGATTTGGGTGTCGTCAGCATAACAGTGGAAGTGAATACCAAAATGACGGAAAATATTGCAGAGAGGGAGGATATAGATGATGAAAAGTAGGGGACCCAGAACAGAACCTTGTGGAACACAGTGAGTGGGTGGTGAGGGTGGTGATCTGGTATTTTCTCCTTGGATGAACTGAGAACGGTCAGATATGTAGGAATGGAACCACTGGAGAGAGATGCCAGAGACCCCAGTGCCAGCCAAACGATCTAGGAGGATGGCATGAGATATTGTGTCGAAGGCGGCACTGAGGTCTAGGAGTATGAGGATGGTGAGAAGGCCAGAATCCGCAGCTAAAAGAAGGTCATTTGTTATTGGAATGAGACCTGTTTCTGTACTGTGGTTGGGACAGAAACCAGACTGAAAAGGCTCAAAGAGGTTATTTTTTGATAGATGATCTTGAAGTTGGCAGGCTATTGTACATTCTATAACTTTTGAGATGAATGATAGGTTTGAAATAGGGTGATAGTTATTGAGTTTGTTTGGGTCCAGGCCAGGTTTCTTTAATAAGGGTGTGACTGAAGCAGTTTTGAGCAGGGAGGGAACAGTACCAGTTGACAGGGAGGAGTGAACAATTTGTGTAATGAGAGGGGAGAGTGTAGGGAGACAAGCCTTGACCAGGGTGGTGGAAAGTGGGTCGAGTAGACAAGTAGTAGACCGGGAAGACATGATCAGTTGGGATATCTATTGATTCGAGGGAAGATGAAAAGCAAATAGAGTACTGGTGGGCTGGACAGTAGCACAAGGAGTGTTTAACTGAGAGGACAGGGAAGGGGTGAGATGGTGGTGTATGGAGTAAACTTTGTGATTTATGAAGTCCAAGAATTGTTGACACTGAACGTCTGACGTGAAGTGGGTGGCAGTTTCTTTGGGCTTGAGTAGTTCATTTACTGTGGAGAATAGAATCCTGGTATTGTTTCCGTCGTGCTGGATGATGTTGGAGTAGTAGGCAGATTTGGCAGTATTTAGAGTGGTCTTGTAGGAGGCGATGTGGATGTATCTTCTGTTTTAAGGTTTGTGAATAATGTTGTCAAAAATCTTATTAAATGTCAGAGTGTATCCAGCTAAATATCCTTTAATTGTAGGTGGGTGTTGACGTGGCTGGTTCCTGCTGAACTGAAGCAATCTCTCATATTTCACTTTCAATTACTCTTTAGGTTTCAATCTTTCAAAAATAGATACAAATCTGCTGCTTTGAACTTTCCTCACATGAAATTTTGATGGCAATAACACAGCATTGTTTTAACATTATTCAAAGTGAGCATCAACCAAATGAGAGGTTGACGTGGGGAAACAGTTTGTTTACAGCAGTTGTTTCACACTATCACACACAAACTGGGTGTCTGTTGGCGAAGAAATTAACAAAAGTGGGGAAATAAAATACATTATTATCTGCTATCAGCATTTACCACTTTTGTCTTTTAGTCTTGTCAAACAACATTATTATAGTCAACTAAAACTAAACAGTTTAGTTAACAGTAATAAAAAATAAAATAAAATAAAATAAAAATATGCAGGAAATGTCTTGTCTCTGTCAGTTTGGTGAAATATGTCGGGTATATATAGGTACATATGTTTATTGAGACTGGGATGAGTCAAATACCTTCATTAAGTGTTTTGTAATACCTTTACTGAACTTCTTAAACCTGAGAACTACTATAAAAAAATAAATAAGTCATAATAATGGCATGCCGTTTAGGAAATTATTATATATAATATGAAGTTTGAATAAAGTTTGAAACTGAGGGTACGACGCATGTTTGTACCCTTGTGGAACAGGGCTTGGGTGTAAAATGATCATACCCACATATTATAAAACAAATAATGCTAATAAAAAATAAATAAATACATTTAAATATCAAAAATCTATTGGTGCACAAGCTTCTTTTATTTCATATATAATAAACTTTCATCTCATATATTCAAACTTTCATATTCATTCAATAATTTCAGAAAGGATATGCCATATAAGATAGATAAATATAAATATAAATAAAAAACAAAAAAACTAAGACTGAAGTGAATAAAAATGAAACAAAATATACATAATACAAGAAAATAATAAGAAAATAATACAAGAACTCAAGTGTGTGTGTGTGTGTGTGTGTGTGTGTGTGTGTGTGTGTGTGTGTGTGTGTGTGTAGAGAGAGAGAAAGGTAGTTAGACACTTACTTGTCGTCGAACATGTACCAGAGGACACTGGTCAGCATGGTCCCCAAACAGAAGAAAGTGATCAACAGAGAGAAGAGTGACTTCAAGAGCTGTCCCCTCATACCTTTCCCCTCCTGCTAACTTCACCCGCTAGCCCCCTCACCTTCTGTCTCTCTCTGCCTCTGTCTGTCCGTCCCACTTCACCTTACTCAACCCATAACTGTTATCTACTTCCGTCACCCTCCTTCTGTTTTCAGATTTCCTCCCTCCTCCACAGCTCGTTCTATGAACCTTTCTCACACACTCTCTCGCTTTCTCTCTCTCTAGACTGTTAATGTTTTGCCCTTCTGCTTTCTTATATTTCCTTTTACCTCGACACACTCTTCCTGTCTGTCTGGTTTCACTCTGTCCTTCACAGTTAGATGTCTTCTTTTTCTCTGCCTCTTGTTCAGACGAGTCGCCTGTATGCACCTCTACTTTTATCTGTTCCCTCTTCATGTTTGCGTCCAGGTCAGCTGAGACAAAGCGGATCTTTTGTTGCTCCATATCCCATATCCATTTGAACAATGCTCATATGGAGAGTTGGTGATTTATCCCTGTACTGTACATTACCACAGACAGAGAATTAGAACCGGTTGTTCCAGATGAAGTCTTTTGTGGGTCTATTCATCAGGGATACCACAATGTCCACCCTCAGCATCTGTCTGTCTGTATTTAAAACAATGTCTGTGTTCAGAAGAAAGGCTGTAGTGAGGCCTTGTTGTTTCCCTACATGTTTCTTATAATCACCCATGTGGGATGTGACAATAAAACCAGTGGTATTACCAGTACAAACTCTGATTCATACATGCATTTGTGTGTTTGTGTGTTTTTCTATGCCTTTTTGTAAAATGTACATTTCTTTGAGTGCCATTCTGGTATCCCCTCGGCAAAGATTTGTTTTCATATTCTTTGATGAATTCATTTGATTTGCATGTAAAAGACCTATTTTCCTACAAAAATAAATCAGAAAATGCATATTGACTAAAGTCTCTGCATCTTTTGTTTGGGCTCCGTAAAAAGAAACAAAAAAAGTACAAAAACATGAGGAAATAAAAGGCTTTCCCACTCTTCAAACGTTGAGTATTGTCCTATTCTTGTTGTCGGATTGAGATCTGTGTCTGATTTTGATTGGTGGAGAACAGGGGGGTCTCTGCAGTCCTATCAGGAGAATTACAGTCATACAGGCTGATGTTGTGTCACTGGCAGGAACAACACAGGAGACCGAAGAGATGTCACTTCAGCTCATGTCAGCTGTGTCATTTTGTTTGTCACTTTGGCAGTTCATTCGGTGACAGTTGAACTTCAGCTGCTGATGAGAGAACAACTGAGTCTGTGAGGCTTTAAATTACATTAATGCATTACGAGCTTAATGTTTGTTCCGATTAGCCACTGATGTTGGGAGCTGAACTGTCCTTGATAATGCAATCTCACCTCTTCAATCAATCCAGACTGAACAGGAACAGGAATGTTTAGAAAATGTAATGTCCTCTGTCTTTTTTTCTGTAATGATAAGTGCTAACAAAGGAGCTACCAATAGGTGGAGCTCTAACATCAGCAGGTGCTGGATTGACTGTACCAGGACCAGGGAGTGAGAGTAGACTGAGCAGAGGCAATATTAAAAACAGCTAGGTGAAGCTAGCACAAGTTCGATTCTTGATGTTTTATTCAAATAGATGAATAAGAACTTTACATTTCCCACCAAGTTTTCAACTTAGTGCCTGTTGTCATTAGTTCACAGCCAAACTGCCTGGAGAATAAACATCCAAGATGGAAATGGAAAGTATGTTTTTGTCTGAAATAAAAAAAACTTTCCCTTGTGAGACAAGCCAGTGGGAATGAACAGAGTGCTGCAGCTGGATGTACAACGAGGTCACTGCCGATATGAGAGGAATCCCACAAGCAATGTCTGGGATGGCAACTTGTGGCAGCGGGCTATTTTCTCCAAAAAGAAACATTTCATCCCATTAACGGCCTAATTGGCCGGGTGCACTAACCCTACACAGATGTCTTTTTAGAGACAGTGTACACATACTACTATTATGAATTTTGGGACAGGGGAAAAAGGAGCAGGACAAAAACACGCTCCAGTGCTCAGTACAAAGCTTCTCTGGTTAGTTTTTCCTGTTGAAGCATTATCCAGATGTTTGCGTGTCTCGTCCATCCACTGACTGTGGGATGCCCTGCAGCAGGACACGCAGGAGTAACCTAGTGAAGTGGAAGGTGCAGTAATGTAAAGGCCACTAATATCACAGCTGTGTCAAATTTGGAAAAATCTGAGGCCAAATAATGAACATGAATATTATGATGGAATCATGCATATGCAAATACACTACACCAACACATGGCTTAAATCAGGTTTCAAAAAAGGCCGTATGAGATGAAACAAAGGAGAAACTAATCAACAGAAGAATGCACACAAAAGGGTTGTTAAAAACTACTACAATGCAAACAGTAAGGGATAAAAATGGCCAAGTATTCAGTAAATACTGCATTCTTATGAGAAATCTTGGCAGGTTTGGGCCACTTAATGGCTCAAAAGACAGTAAATCATGCAAGCTTAGACGTCTGAGGAAAAGCTTTGGCCTCCTGGTTAGACAAGTGAATTCTACTTCAGCTACTGATTACACACAAATACAAAAAACTTTTTTTCTGATAAATATTTATTCACTGATTCACTTTAACCTAATTTCCCCTCTCGTCTCGTGCTGTTCAAGAAAAAAACTAAATCCCAAACATTCAAACGGTTCTAAAGATTGGCTCACCAAGAGTTCTCAATATTGGTCATCTACAATTTGTAAATAATTAGTCTGGATGACAAAAATCACTGTTAAGACTTTAGAAGTGTCAGCATAAAAGGCAATACTCCCTGTTGTTCAAGACCCACCCAAGTCTTGATGTAAGTGTTACAAAAGAAAGCTTACCAGAAGGTTACAATTTTCACCCAAAGTGCACAATTCACAATCATTACATCACCTTACATTGGAGTTAATTAAAGGTCCAGTGTGTAACATTTAGGAGGATCTATTGTCAAAAGTAGAAAATAAAAGTCCTCTTCTACTGAGGCTGGCATGTTTAACCACCATGTTTCTACAGTACCCAGAACGGACGAAACAAACACTGGCTCTGAAAGCTTTGAAGGCGAGTTATATTCTTCTGGTTGCAGTCTGCAACTTCACCACTAGATGTCACTAAATCCTACACACTGGCCCTTTAAATCTGCATTGATTTACATCAACTTAAAAAGTATTTGCTTCCAAACTAACATTGTACCAATGTGTGTATGCTGCCACTTTGTGACAGTGCTTACCTCTCCGTCTGGTCACTGTGGTGACGAGGGGTAGCACATTGTAACAGAGGCTCCCCATAGCAACCTTTGTGAAGAGAACGTTATTATTCCTTTTTCGTTCTGTGGTGTCTGTTTAGTTAGCTAGAGGCCTCACTTAATAGGGTCTTCTGGTGACCACAGCCCACAGAGGGCAGCCATGATGGTCGGTAGTTTACGCTACTAGGACACGACCAACGCAGACACTCTCAGATCTGAGGCTTATTCCATGTCTGTATGACATCCAGCAGTGTCAGTGGCGTACAATGAGAATAAGAGTACGGAAAATGATTGTCCACAACCAGCACCAACCTTTTTATAATATGTGTGTGATTAAATTGTGTGAGTACCATACTTTTCCCCTCAACAGTTCCTAGATTACTGTCTAAGGTGGTTAAATGTGTGATGTGATTTTTAACAAAAGATTCTTCACATTCATTGTGCTGCTGTTTCCATTAAACGCGTTTTAGCCAGACAATCTTCATGTAAAGGAGGTATTTCTTCAAAATACATTCAGTTTGTTGCAAAAAGCTCCCATGGTCAGTTACATGTCATTAGTTATTGAATCACATAAGGCACTACAATTTAGACCCCCACCACCAAAGGCTCACAACGGTTTTCCATTTAAATCAAAATATCTTCCTCCAGACTCCAGCTGGAACATTTGTGGTAATAAATACAGTTTTAGGTACACTACACAACGGTTTACAGAAAGTCTTGTGATCATTGCATTTTGATTTTAGTGCAAATGTCTAGGCCGCTGAACTCAGCAGTCACTGCAAGTCTTACTTGCGTTTATCCGTGTCACTAGCCAATAAAGATTCCATTCATTCAAAAGTATATGAAAGACTTTATGTTTGACTAGCTTCTTCCTGAGGCTACCAAGAAGGCACTTTGTTCCTGTCCTGTCAGCTGCCTCTGAGTCTGGGAACTTACTTTGCACCCGGTTGACATTCTCCCAGGTGAAGCTTTAGCACCCCCTGAGTGTGCAGCCGCAACAACAGGTCAAACTCAGCTGGCATGGCGTGGAATTTCTTTTTAGTTTGTCTGTCATCGTAGTAGTGGTTAGTCAGGGCATGGAATCCATGTGGGTGATTACTGAAGGGCCAAAACCCGTACAGATGCACGTTGGCACAGAGTTCCAGGGCCAGGCTAGCCATGATTATGCCGGTGCTGAGCCGCACTGCTCGGAGGCCTTGGGAGCGCCAGAAGAGCGCCAGTCTCTGGAGGTAGTCAGGGTTGAAGAAGATGGGCCGGTTGGGACTTTCAAAGTCCTCCATGGTGTAGAAGGCCCGCAGGGACACAGGAGTGTTGTGGCCATAGGAGAAGGCGGGAAGGAGCAGCAGGGAGTTGCCATAGCTATGCAGACTCTCCACAAACGGACGGCGACGCCCCATTAGAGCTCCATACCTGAAAATAAACAGAAGATGTGAAGCAACAAGACAAAAAGGAACATTTTTAGGGTGACAGTGCAGTAAGATTCTTCCTCTCACTCACTTCTCTAGAAGGATGCTTGGGTTTGCTGTCACAAGGTCGGTCTTGATGCCTACATGTTTCTCAAAGCCGTTCTTCAAAGGAGGTAGGTTGCACCTGAACAAGCAACAGAGAATATATAGAGATTGTTATACAGAAGTTAAACAGAGGTGAGTTTAATTCTGTTGGTTGACATTGTCAGTCCACAGCACTAGACACATTTCTCACCTGATCACAAACTGAGCTGAATCAATCGTATTTCCACAACTGCTGTTGGTCAGTATCCCTCCGTTCCCAACAACAGCGCACGTGTCCCATGTTTTATTTGGGAAAGGACGCTCCTGGAATCAACACAAACGGTAAAATGCATTACAAAACAACAACATATATGCTGATGATGAGGACTGTGTGAAAGACAAAGAGCCATTTTAGGGGAGGGAATGGCTCCATCTCATGTGCAAATGATTTCTCAACACCCCACACTCTGGGAAATCCCCCCCACAGTAGTGCTAACATCTGTGTCTATTAATTTCATTTGCTAATGTACCACATTAATGTTCCCTCCTTCTCTGGTTAAATTGCCTTAGAGTCTAGGATTTACTATAAAGTGTTGCAATTTCAAAGATATAAAAACAGCTACAATTCAAAATAAGTTTTTTTGTTTTGTGACAAACAGAGATCTTATTCATGTCTTGGTGAAATCAGTGGTTTGGGTTGTTATCAGTGTGATACGGTTTTTGTGTGTTTCAAACCAAATCAAGATTTCCACCACATTGGGCAATAAAGCTGTATTTTATTGTTACTATGGTGATTAAGGAGAGACCAGCTGTGCCGTCTAACCAAAAGAAGCCTGCAAAGCCTGACATATTTTGTCTAGAAATGTGAATTGGGACTGAAGTGAACACATAACAAAGCAAAATGCAGCCTCTTCACTTCAGACATTAGACCATTAGACCAAATTCATTGCAGGTCCTTCTGGTCAAAACACAAGCTTCAAAAATGTATTTGGTAACAGGAGGGATAGCTCAGTGGTAGAGTGTTTGTTTTTGGATGAAGATGATTAAAGTCTCCTCTTCTTGTTGCTGTAGTTGGATGTTAGGGCTTCACTGTGCAGAATGATGTACGTGCAGAGTCTGACAATAGAAGTTTGTTTTCACATTCATCTGCTGTGCTCTGTGCTCACGGAAAATCTGATCACGAATAGTTTGGATCGTGCCCAGCTGTTTATGGAAGCCATTCGGGACTAAGTCAACCATGAGAATATATGGTACATATTTCTTCATCTATTATGTATCTGGCTTTGACAAATGTACATTGGGATATAGCTCAGTGGTAGAGCATTTGACTGCAGATCAAGAGGTCCCCAGTTCAAATCTGGGTGCCCCTTGCAGGATTTTTTTTGTTGTATGTAGTGTTTTTAGACTCAAGATAATTTAATCTGTCATTACACTTCATCAGTATGCTTCACCATGAAGCTGCTGTCAGCTTTAAATTTACAGATGACACAGTTGTTGCAAGTTTGCTTCATTAAAATGATGTGGCCAGTGAGCGTGTGCAGTCATGTGATGATCAGTTCCAGAAACTGTGCATTCAAAAGAATATTTCGCTTCCACTTTACCAGATCATTGTGGCAGGAGTTGAGAGTACCGTGCACTTGACAAGAAATGGAGTGAAATGTCTTCACAAACAGTGAATGGACTGCTGTGAAATTTGGTACAGATATTAAAGGTTCCCAGACTTTAATGATCGTGTGACCTTTCCTCCAGCACCACCATGAGGTTGACATTTGTGGTTTTGAGGGAAATGTCTCAATAATGGGATCCACAGCCACGACATTTAGTAGTTCCTCTCTCCTCAGGGAGGATCTTAATACTGTGTAAAAACGTGATCACATGGCTGCTTTATTGTTCTTTGTATTGTGTGTATAGTTGTCACTATTTTTTGTGGGTTTATTTGTTGTTGTTTTGTTTTGTTTTCTGGAGTTCTTGCTTCTGCTTTGCTGCTAAAACAATCTCCTCATGTGTGACAATAAAGACAAATCTGATCACACTCACGCAGATTCTAAACATGGGCAGATTCCTGTACACAACCAGTGTACATCTCAGTATGTATTTATAGATCATTTTACACATTTACTACTCTGATAATGAACACACAGTTGAGATGCAGATACACAACTCTCCACTCACATTTGTACATAGTTTTGCTACAATAATGGACCCATAACATTTAGTTATTTTCAATATAATTATGTGATTAATTCTGATGTGTATTGCATTTGTCAGTGTAAAGGGTTTGATGAGTTGTACCATGTGTTCTTACAATTCTGTGTTTACATAAGTAAGTTATGTCCTGAAAAGTAGAGTTTGGTGTATATTGAAATCATATTATAGTATATGAAATACACTTAACATGCACAGGGGGGTATACCTCAGTGGTAGAGCATTTGGCTGCAGCTCAAGAGGTCCTCAGTTCAAATCTGGGTGTCCCCTTCAGTTTTCACCCCCAAAATACTAATACCCAAAAAACTTTCATTTATTACATATCCCTAAAATCCAAAAGATAAATGTTCGTTCTGTTCATAATAACACAGAAGTGTGCAATTGGTAACTTCTAAACTGCAGCTCATTCACATTTAAAGCTTACATGTGTTACACTAAAACCAAAATGTGTTTACTGATCAGGACTAAGTGTGAAAAGTGTGAAGTGGTCAGCAGTACAGACAGTCTCCAGTTCAGGAAGTCCAAAAATAAACTGTGCTGTCTAGTCTTGTGTATGAAAAAGCCAAGATGTGAGACATATGACTCAGAACATGTTAACATTTGAGAAGCAATCAAACAAGCAGCAGATGTAGTAGTAACATTCACGAAAGACCACCATACCTTTGCAAAGGTGCTGAAAAGCTCCGGGGTCACCTGGAGGGTCCTCTTCTTTTCCCCGTCGTACACAAGCTTTGATCCCACTGGAGTGTTGGCCTGGGAAATGATGGCCTTGTCAAAACCATGGCACTTGCTGTTCAGCTGAGATCTGGGGAACCACAAGGACTTCCGTTAAATTAAATAACATACAAGACGGCCAGGAGTCGCTGACAGTGATTTTAGGTGTTAAACAATTATGGAACAACGTTAATTTGCAAAAATACAGTAAGAGCTAACTGAATGTCCATTTTTGTTCAGCTCATAAATAAACCATTACCGCTCTCATATAAGGATTTTAATAACTTAAATTCAGTGAAAGCTGTCTTTTAGGTTTTACTAAAACTCACAGGACCTCAACATGCGTTATATTTAAACCATGTGGTCAACATTCGCATGTTAACTTCCTCTACTTCTCCTTCCATGTCTCTACTTCTTCTAACCATATAAGAAGCAAATTAATGCTTTTTTTTGTTTAAACCTTTTCAGTTTATTACAGTTTGAGCCATTTGTGACAAATGTAGACTAAATCAGGTGAGGGGACCCTGACTCATCTTTTCTGAGCTTTCCCTAAAGTTAAAACATTTTGGGAGATAATGGATTAATTACATAGCGTAATTATTGGGAAAGAAATCCACACAGATGCTATTTTGGGTTTGATCTGAAAGCTCCCCAGAACTGCCATATAGAGACCCAGCAAGCTTTAATGCTTGTTTCTAGCTTAAAGGGTTATTTTGAGAGAATGGACCTCTTCTTCTTGTTTTAAGAAGTGTCATAACGATATGACGTTTACTTTCATTATTTGGAAGAGATCTGGTATTTCTCATCTGACTTACAATGTAAATTTGTTTGGATTTCAGATCTCTTTTTTGATTATATCAGAAAGCAAATAGACTCGTTTGCATCTAAGTAGTGTGTGTTGATTTCTGTGCCCCTGCACAGGCAAATGAACGGGCATTTGCCTGCCTGTATTTCCATCACGGTGGCTATAAATGGACACTGGAGATACTGTATATCATCTGTCTAGCTTGTTCTAGAAGTTCAAACTAGAGTAAAAAAAAAAATCTGAGAGGATGCCATGTGTTTTTTCACCTGAATTTTTGGTAATTGTCCTCCTGCTTCTTCCAGGTTTTAGAGTAACGCTCTACCACTTTGTCGATGACCTCCCTGTGACACACACACACACACACACACACACACACACACACACACACACACACACACACACAACACACACAACAACAACAGTCAGGTCTTTAATCCCTGTTGATCTGATGAAGGAATAAACAAAAAGGTCACATGGGGAGAAGCAGCGACGGTGTTTGCTCTCACCTACAGCCTCTACAGAGGTCAGTGGGCTCAGGAATGCTTTTCTTATGAGACTGTTTGCGAGGTTCTACATTGCTGTGGAGAGAACGAGAGAGAGAAACAGCAACAGATGAGTAAAACCCAGAAGCCAGAAGGGGAAGAAACTGATAATCTAATAGACTCTGAGCTCCTGTGTTTTCTAGGCTCCATATTCTGTTCACATCAGTTGAGAAGAAAACGCTGTTCTAAAAGTGCTGTATTGTTTAGATAGAAAGTCTCATTCCCAGGTCGTCAAATACAGCTTTGGGTCCCAAGGAATGAGACTTAACAATCAACTGTCTTTCTCAGCTCTGATTGGTTGTTTCCGTTCGGGTGGGGTGGATTCTTGGCAATTGTCATTAGGAGCACTAGGACGACCCAGAGTAACCCAGTTTTTTTTCACAGATTATCCGTCTCCTGTACTACTGTCAGGCACATAGTGAAGGTTTCATAATGTTATATAGAAGTTACCTACTGCAGCTTTATTTAAGTAATTAATTCAGCATCTAACACCAAGTTCTGTATGCATGAATATCTAACACAATGTCTCTCAGTGGTCATTCAGTCAGCTTCATAAAGAATAAATGAACAACCAGTGTGTAAACTCAAGAGCAGAGACCTTTGATTCTTAGTTACATTTCAGCAGGAGCCTTCTGCCTCTTTTCGTGCATGTGTGTGTTGTAACGTCTGTGGTTTGCAGTAGTTTGTGCATGTATCTTCTCTTCCTGTTTTTAGGTTTGTGAATAATGTTGTCAAAAATCTCAGATAGAATCCAGTTGGAGTCTGAATCTCAGTGTTCAAGGATCACCTGAACCAAAACCCACAAGGGCAGAGTGTTGTTAAATGTCATAGTGTATCCAGCTAAATATCCTTTAATTGTAGGTGGGTGTTGGCATGGCTGGTTCCTGCTGAACTGAAGCAATCTCTCATATTTCACTTTCAATTACTCTTTAGGTTTCAATTTTTCAAAAATAGATACAAATCTGCTGCTTTGAACTTTCTTCACATGAACTTTTGATGGCAATAACACAGCATTGTTTTAACATTATTCAAAGTGAGCATCAACCAAATGAGAGGTTGACGTGGGGAAACAGTTTGTTTACAGTAGTTGTTTCACACTATCACACACAAACTGGGTGTCTGTTGGCAAAGAAATTAACAAAAGTGGGGAAATAAAATACATTATTATCTGCTATCTGCATTTACCACTTTTGTCTTTTAGTCTTGTCAAACAACAGGATGCATCTTTATCTTCTGACTCCACTAACACACCCATGTGCACATGAAACACAATAGCTAGACAAGCTTGTGTGTGTCAAGGTTATTATAGTCAACTAAAACTAAACAGTTTAGTTAACAGTAATAAAAAATAAAATAAAATAAAATAAAAATATGCAGGAAATGTCTTGTCTCTGTCAGTTTGGTGAAATATGTCGGGTATATATAGGTACATATGTTTATTGAGACTGGGATGAGTCAAATACCTTCATTAAGTGTTTTGTAATACCTTTACTGAACTTCTTAAACCCTGAGAACTACTATAAAAAAATATAGAAGTCATAATAATGGCATGCCGTTTAGGAAATTATTATATATAATATGAAGTTTGAATAAAGTTTGAAACTGAGGGTACGACGCATGTTTGTACCCTTGTGGAACAGGGCTTGGGTGTTAAGTTATCATACCCACATATTATAAAACAAATAATGCTAATAAAAGATAAATAAATACATTTAAATATCAAAAATCTATTGGTGCACGAGCTTCTTTTATTCCATATATTCAAACTTTCATCTCATTTTTTCAAACTTTCCTCTCATTTTTTCAAACTTTCCTCTCATTTTTTCAAACTTTCATCACATATATTCAAACTTTCATTCCCTATATTCATTCAATAATTTCAGAAAGGATATGCCATATAAGATAGATAAATATAAGTAAAAATAAAAAACAAAAAAACTAAGGCTGAAGTGAAGAAAAACGAAACAAAATAAATGAAAACAATACTTAAAAAAAAAATACAATACAATACAAGAACTCAAGTGTGTGTGTGTGTGTGTGTGTGTGTGTGTGTGTGTGTGAGAGAGAGAGAGAAAGGTAGTTAGACACTTACTTGTGGTCGAACATGTACCAGAGGAGAGTGGTCAGCAGGCTCCCCAAACAGAAGAGAGTGATCACCAGAGAGAAGAGTGACTTCAAGAGCTGTCCCCTCATACCTCTCCCCTCCTGCTAACTTCACCCGCTAGCCCCCTCACCTTCTGTCTCTCTCTGCCTCTGTCTGTCTGTCTGTCTGTCTGTCCCACTTCACCTTGCTCAACACTCACCCGTTATCTACTTCCGTCACCCTCCCTGTTTTCAGATTTCCTCCCTCCTCCACGGCTCGTTCTACCCGGATGAACCTTTCTCACACCCTCTCCCTCTTTCTCTCTTTCTAGACTGTTAATGTTTTGCCCCTCTGCTTTTTCTTTTACCTCCCTCCTCCCCACACTCTTCCTGTCTGTCTGGTTTCACTCTGTCCTACCTTGGGTGAGCGAAAGCCCGCCCCCTCAGTTAGATGTCTTCTTTTTCTCTGCCTCTTGTTCAGACGAGTCCCCTGTGTGCACCTCTACTTTTATCTGTTCCCTCTTCCTGTTTGCGTCCAGGTCAGCTGAGACAAAGCAAATCTTTTGTTGCTCCACATCCTACCTTCAAACCTTATCTTGTCTCTTTTGTCCTCCCATCTCTTTTCCCTCTGTCCCTGCCTGTTTTCCTCATGTGTTCACACAGACAAAACTCACAATCCTACTTTCCACTGTAGTCCCAAAAGCCAGAGCTCCTTCTGCTCTCCGCCCCCACCCGTGAGCTCCAGCCTTCCCCTCTCTGCTTTCCCCTCCCTCCCCCCACCCATCCTCCGCCCACACCCCTTAAGCCCCTCTCCCCTTTGCACAAAAAGGAGGCAGTAACATGAGTGCCCAGTCCTGAATTAGCCCACAGTTTGCCTCTTGACTAGTGTGTGTGTATGTGTGTGTGTGCCAGGAAAGTAGTGAGGGGCAGAGCAGGCGAGGGGCAGAAGCGTCCCATCCAATCAGAGAGACTCCTTCTACCCCCTCAAACTCTTACCTACACACACACAAGCTTCTTTTCTTCCAGTGTCAAACTTTGCCAGCTGTATCGACTCATCTCCTCTTACAATCAAAGTGTGTGTTTCTCCATTTTTAAGAGGTGGGAGGGAGTTTGGTGGGGGGTTGGGGCCCGAGGAAGGGAAGTCTCCCCTCAGCTGAGATGGGAACCTGCTCGTAAAACATGGCAGTACTGCTAGGCTGGATCAACAGGAGTGACTGAACAACATAGCGAGCCAGCGGCGACGAGACAAGCCAGAGGGAGCCAGACAGAGAGACAAAAAGCAGAGAGAGGTGGGGAGTTGATGCCCAGAGGAGCCATAACTCATCTGCTGTTTGGCTTTCCTTTTGGGGGAGCTCTGTATTTGCCAGCCCTCTTGCAAATATATTGGGATAAAATGCTTTGGCACATGGGATGCATTGCACAATAAAGACCCACAAACATATGGCCACACCCAGCTTTCCTGTATTTATATATATATTTTTTTTGCATTTTCAGTGGAAAACTCCACGCTGAGCTCCTCGCAATAAAGCAATTATGCCTAGTAACTACATGCTGAGTAAGCTGAGCTATGCCACAGCAACTCCACCCCCCCTCACACACACACACAGAAAATCCAAAAACAAAAGAGCTCTTGGAAAGTTTTTATTTTGGCAGATGTCAGGGTTTTTTTTTTACAGAGAACTCGCTCTCGGAGGCTGTTTTGACCAGACAGAGGACGTGGGCACAATCGATAAAGAAGGTTGCGCAACTAATAAGACTAATCGTGCCAATAGAGACACATTTTTATGTAATGATTTGTTGACTGATGAGCCGGTATGGTGAATCCAGTGAGGAGCTATCTCATTGAGAATGTGTGCTATGTGATCACAATAGTACAGGTGAATGCCTAAATGACTATATTGCCTGGGTTTTGTATATTTCCTGACATCAAGGGATGACTATGAATTGTTCCTCTCTGTCGCACTAGTGTTCGGTCAAGAGATAACAAACCCCAACCCCCTGAGAGCCAGGCCTCTGGGGGAATAAAAAAACCACACATATCCATGACCTTTCATGCGTCATGAGACACTAGCAGGAATGTGGAGAGAAAATGTGGGGAAAAAATGTTTTTTTTCTCCAGCATGGACACACTATGATAATAACAAGGCTGAGAGCAAGAAAAAGAAAAATGGAGCCACTGCCCCAGAATAATAGTAGTGTATCATAGAAGGAGGTACAGCAACAAAACACCTTGCTTCTCAGGCGGTCTGTTAAATCAAATATCCAGACCTCTCATCTGGTTTGCCCTCATCACAGGCCGTCCTCCCGCGCACAACAGTCGGTCATTAGCTTATTACAGACGGTGCCATTTCCATCCAAAGACTCCATAAGCTATTTAACCGCATTAAAGCCAAAGGAGTGATTTTTCAAGATGACATTCATAATCTTGTAACCCGGGAGATTTGTCAGCGTTGTGCTCGTTGTCGTGCGCCTGCAGGAAGCCCGCGGTCTCTTTTACTCAGCATGGATGAATCACGGCCCACCGAATCATTCTCTCTTATTATACTCGGTGATGGATGGTCGTGTAATTGGGAGCTAACGTTTTGGGGAAGAGTGACACATTAATGAAACAATTTCGGCTCTTCATTTAGGTTTCTTCGGGTGTGTAAATGACCCTTTTGGTTCCGTGCTCCACTAACGGTCGAACTAGCTTTGGTCACAACCTCCAGCAACTCTCTCCTTTTCTGTAATCTATGTTTAAAGGACAACCACATTTTTGAAGATGGTTTAAAGATAAAAGAGACATATAGTCACATCTTAAGTCAGCAAATGTTAGCAAAACAGTAGCTAATTTGCATACTACTGATTGATGTAAATTAGGTAGGTAGTTACCTAGCATTTCACTAACATTAGTTAGATAACTTAGATGTGACTGTGTAGCAAGGTATATGACAGATATACATAGTATACCCGCTTATTTTTCTATCTGCATTGGGTATACCCACTTCTAAATCCCCTCTGATGCACATTATTCATAGTTTTCCAAGTGGATGGAATAAGAAATAAGGAATACTTCACTCAAAATGCATAATTATGTAGTTTCTTACATGTCTGTGGGCCAGTATTGATTGCAAAAACTTTCATTTTATAATGAGTCTTAGTTCCTGTCAAGCAGATGTTAAGTGGCAATAAGCAAACACTGTACTTCAGTGGTCTTACGTCACTGTTTATAATTATGCTTTGCTGGAAAGACTGATTAAAAACAAACAAACTTGGGGCATAAATTGAGAGTATGCCGACTTTCTCCAGTTACCACTACAATACTGTGTATATGTTGGTTAGGAGAAAGCTGACCTGACGAGGTTTGCTCAGCTCTTATTGGAGCACAGAGCAAAAAGCAGCGGAACTAATGAAGGATCAATTGACAGAGGATGTCAATGTGTGTGTAGCTGACAGTTAACACACATGTTTGTATAGTTCTGGTATAGTGTGTGTGTGTGTGTGTGTGTGTGTGTGTGTGTGTGTGTGTGTGTGTGTGTGTTTTTCCCAGATGACCCTTCCCAGCTGCTCTTGACAGGAAGTCTGGACGCAGCAGTCTTCGTGGTGGTATGCAGTGATGGAGGAAGAGTGGGTGAGTGGCTTCAGTGGATGCGAAGTACTTCCTCTAAAGAGCCCATGTGACATCCTCACAAGGCAGACAGAAGCATAAATGTTCCATTGTCATCCAAACAGCACCCAATAAATCTGTCCTGCCCCTCCTCCACCTTGTTCACATGTCCCCTCCTCCCCTCCCTCCTTACTCCCTGAGCAGTGATGAGGCCGTTGCCTCTTCCTCAGCAGGTTTCAATACCAACTGTGAGATACTGTACATCAGTGACAGGATGTAATGCAGCCTCGCTTCCGTCTCTGCCTTACATCTCAAAAAAATGGTGATTCCCCAAGCAGCAGTGAGCTTCCTGTGAGACTGTGTGCTAGATTATTGTGGTTAGGGGGTTTTTATTTATTTAAATAAGGACACAGAAGTTGTCCTGCAAATACCAACAGACAAAACAGAACTGGCACTTCCCTGTCATTGTCAACCTTTCCTACTTTGGCACTGGTCTGACTCAGATGTTGGTGCCAGTGAGCCTGATAACAGGTTATGTGACCTGTTATAAAACTCCAGTGACCGCATTGAACTGACACAAATCTGTTATCTGCTATACAATATGAATCAGCACGGCAGACAAAAAGCATGAGTGAGTGAGTAAATGACCAGAGAAAACAGATGATGCAACAAGATCCAAAGTGTGTGTTGATGTTTTTTTCTTTAGCTGGAGAGAGGCGGAGGAATACAAAATAACTCACGGTCTGGAAATAGATCATCAGATGATTTGTGCACTTTAAGACTGGACTAACTAAAGCATCAAGAATGTAAAAAATACAAACTATGTCCAAACTATCAACAGAAACAAGGTCAACCAAAATACATCAAGATGGCTTTTTTTTTTTTTAGAAAGAACCAAAAATGTAACACAATGAGGAACTACAGTGGCACAAAAACCATAGAACTCAATCACATCAATATGAATGTACCATATCTCTTTAACATATCTTTCTGCCTGATTGCACTTTCTGCACCCAGCAGCTGCACACACAAGACTGCATCGTCTGTCCTTTAAAACAACATAGCAAATGATAACCTGAGAGCTAAAGCATAACTGTGTGTGAGTACCAGACGGGGCTGCTGAGTTCAATGTTGACCACAAAAATCCCAAACCTGCAGTAACGCCCCACAGCTGACGACAACCGAAAAGCTGTGCCTATTGAAAATATATGTATTGTTGATACTAGTGTGCCTTTCCCTCATTATATTGATTGATTGATTGATTGATTGATTGATTGATAATGATATTAGTAACCTGATACATTTAACAGCAGCCAAGAGGGCTCTTGTAGAGTCTGGAGCAAAAGGACCTCCTATAATTGTTAGCTGCAGTCCTACATATTTTTTGCTTTTACGTTTTGTTTTCAGTTGAGTTTCAGGTAGTTTCCAGAGTGAGTTTACTATTAGTAATAACTAATTACTAGTTTCGATGTTAGTTTTAGTCTTTTAAAACAATGATATGGGGGCTGTTTGTCAGTAGAGTTTTGATCCGAACCCGAATTTTCCACTTAAAATAAATAATTTGACCGTTTTTTACAAGCTAAAGTTAATTACAGTCACATGCATTATATAAAAAATATTAAATTTAAATAAACTATTATATGTTATTCTTTATATGTGTATTCTTATGTTATTTTTAAGGGGCAAGATTTAAGGTACTACAACACAAACACTTGTGAAGACAGTTGATCCACAGTCATGTGACGTCTCACTCATGTTATCGTGTTAACACATGACCACAAAATCTAAAGACATTTCCTGTAAGTTAGTTTTTTGTAAGTACACAACATTGCTTCATTTATTTATTTATTTTCTACTCTAGAATTTGTTTTTATTTCCGTTAATAAAAAATGTTTTTTTTACACCTAGTTTAAATTAAAATAATGTAACTATAATAAAATTTGTCCTGCTTTCTCCTTCTTTAAGCCTCTTCTAAAAGACCTCTACAACCGCCGTATGTTCACCTTAAATCTTCAGACATTATATGTATAAGTATGTAACACTTTTATGCATTTTAAACACCATTTTCCTCTCGTTAACCCATCTGATGAGGCTCGACTGCAAAGCTTCTGGTGCCAGGAGGTCTAATCATGAGCTCTGGGACCT